CATCCCAGAAGCGAAAATGACCTGGCCCCAAATATGTGCCCAAGGTCGAGGCTGGTGGTCCAGGTACTCCTGGCTCCCTGTAGTGACATATCCAGCTCCCAAGCCATTCCATCCTGCCCCAGGGCACCTGCCCCCTCCCCACCCACTGTGACCCCACATCCTCCTTTCCCCGTCAGGGCTGGTCACGCTCTGGTCCACCTAGGCCTGAAGACAGAGCTCCCCTCTGCCCTTTCCTCACCAACCCCTGGTCGGCATCCTCCCCCTTCCCCCATACAAAGGCTCTGGGGCCCGCCAGTCCCAGGTGGCACTCACAGCCCTGAGGCCCTGGGCCCCCCAATCCTGGACACAGGAGATGAATGAGGTCAAGTGGTGTGGATCCTTGGGGGGCCAGGAACCAGGTGGGAGCTGGCCCAGAGGCTGGGGCTGGCCTGTTTGTTTTCAGGACCTCCTGAATGTCCTGGGAAGGGGCAGTGCTGGTCACCTGCGGGCTGGTCACTCCCCAGTATCCGGGACTGTGGTCATCAGACGAAGCAGCACTCGGTGCAAGGGCATGTCCCCGCCCTTGACAGGTCAGCGCCTGAGCTCTGTCCACTCCGGCCCGGCCATCCTCCTATCTCAACCCCCCAACATAAAGGCTTGACCCAGTCCTTTAGGCCTCACAGGGCGGGCGCCCCCCACAGCCCCTGGCCAGGCTCCTCTTCTGCTGATGGACCCAGGGCTATCTTGGGACAGATTTTCCTGTCTGCCCCTGGAGCATATCTGGCCCCTCAGGCTGACACTAAGGAGACCAAACTAGACTGTCGCCACGCCCGCCCCACGCCTCTGCCTCCCACTCCGCCTCCCGGCCCCCCCCCCCCCCCCCCGCCCCCCCCTCCGCCTCCCGGCCCCGCCCCCAAGCCGCTGCCTGCCTTGCTGCCTCCCGGCCCCGCCCCCACGCCGCTGCCTCCCTTGCTGCCTCGTGGCTCAGTCCTCCTTTTCCTGGTTCACCCCTGAGCCCCTCAGCCCTGCTCATGGACGGCTCTCGCCGATCCACCAGCTTTTAGGAAACTCGCACATAAAGCGTTGTGCAGGAAAAGCCCATCCCTGCAGAGACGTGGACCCGCCCGCTGCCTCCGTTCACGTTTGTCACAAACCATCTCAACAAGGTGGCATTCTGGATGCTCCTCAGCTTGTGCCCGCAGCCCAGCTCCCTTCCCAGCTCTTTTCCACCCCAACCCTGTCTCCCATCTGGTCCCTGAGCTCAGCCTCAGTCACTCGGTGCTGAAAATGACCTCTTCCAATGTTATTTCAGCAACATGGCAGCTTCCGGACCTCTCCCAGGCAACCTCACTCCCGAGGGTCCTGGTCCCAACAGGGAGATCAAGGTGAGTCCAAGCGTGCAAGCTGCTGCCGTCGGCTGAGCTCTGCTCCGGGCACTGTGACACCAGCTTTTCATGCCTATGTCGCTTACTGCTGGAAGAACCCAGTGGTGTGGGCACTGTTCTCACTTCTATGCAGAAACGGAGCCTTGGGATTAAGGATTTTGCTCGCGGTTGCACAGTCAGGAAGTGGACCAGGCTGGGGCAAGGGCAGATCCAGGCAGGAGGGGCTTCAGCAGTGGAAGAATTTGGAGACCTGGGACACCACCTTGCCAGGGCGCTCCAGGGGAACAGGGGGCCTCAAGCTTAAGCTCACAGCTGGGTGGGAAATCTGGCAAAGGAAGGGCACCAGGCCAGCCTGAGAGTGGAGAGAGGGGTCATCGGAGAAAAAGAGAGCCCATTGTCTCTTCCCTGCTGGGGCCCTGTGTAGGTCAGACCCCTTGAGGTTGTCCCGTGGTCCCTGACCCCCATCCCTTTCGTCCCTTTCGGACTTTTTCTTGCGGCTTCATTGTGGGTCGCTCTGCTGCTGGGCCCTAAGCCCGCCCTGCTTCCTTCCGTCCATCTGCTGTGAACCCACCAGTGTACTTATCACACCAAATTCCATGCTTTCCATGTCTAGGATTTCCATCTGGTTCTTTATTCCCTTTTAATTTCTTAAAACTTCACCGAGGTGAAATTCACAGAGTGTAAAATAACCGTTTTGAAGTGTACAATTGTGTAGCAATGAGTCCACACACCCCGGTGCGTATCCATGACCTCTGTAGTTCCAAAACATTCCCGTCGCCCCCAAAGGAAGCCTCGTCTCCAGCAGCGTTGGCCCCCCACTGTCTGTCCCTAAGGATTTACCTGTTCTGGACATTTCCTATCAACGGAATCATACAACATGTGACGTTTCGTGACTGGCTCCTTTCACTTAGCATGTTTTCAAGGTTCGTCCATGTTTGTAACATGGACCAGTGCCCTGTTCCTTTTCATAGCTGAATAATATTCTACTGTATGAATAGACCCCAGGCTTTTGTGCTTTTTTTTTTTTTTTTTTAGATGGAGTCTTGCTCTGCTGCCCAGGCTGGAGTGCAGTGGCACAATCTCGGCTCTGCAAACTCCGCCTCCCAGGTTCAAGCAATTCTCCTGCCTCAGCCTCCCTAGTAGCTGGGATTACAGGTGCACACCAACATGATGCTTGGCTAATTTTTGTATTTTTAGTACAGATGGGGTTTCACCATGTTGGCCAGGCTGGTCTCAAACTCCTGACCTCAGGTGATCCACCCACCTTGGCCTCCCAAAGTACTGGGATTACAGGCACGAGCCACCTCACCCTGCCAACCCCATGCTTTTTATCCACTCATTGTTTGATAGACATTTGAGTTGTTTACATCTTTTGGCTCTTCTGAACAGTGCAGCCACAAATACGCACACACACAACTATTGGTTTGAATTCCTGTTTTCAATTCAAGCAAAGTTTCTGGGTCATGGGATAATGATGTGTTTAACTTTCTAAGAAGCTGCCCATTGTTTTCTGCCGTGGACACGCTGTTTTCCTTCCTGGGTCTTTTCCATGCCTCCCATTTTGCTTCTCATCAGGTTCTTGCCTTTCAGTACCCTCTTGAGCATGTAGAGATATGTAGAATGGGTCTTTAACATCCTGATATGATGAGTCCACCGTCACTGTCATTTCTGGATCTGTTTCTATCGCTCGATTTTTCTCCTGCTTACGTCTCGTATGTTCTTGCTTCATTGCCTGCCTGATAATTGTTAACTGGATGTCATATTTACTTTGTGGATTTCACGTTGTTGGTTTCTTGACGTGGCAGCTGGCCTCCAGGATGACTTCCCTTGTGTGATGCCTTCCATTGAGTATGGGCTGGACCTTGTGACCCACTTCTAATAGCTATGACAAGGAGGAAGGGATGGCGCGTGAATCAGACACAGAGTGTGACATCAGCCCCACTGCTCCTCTTACCGCTTGCGGTGGGGAACCGTGTCACAGGCAGCCCCAGGGAGAGGCTCTCGTGGCAGGAGCCTGAAATTCCCACTGGCCATTGTGGCCCACCAGTTCCAAGACATTCTCCAGAGCCCAAAGTCCCGGCCCAGAACGTGACCACAGCCTCACTGCAGACCCTGAGCCCGAACCACCCAGCTGGGCCACTCCCCCACTCCTGACCCTCAGAAATCGTTGTTTGAAGCTGTTGTGTTTGGAGACAATTTCTTATGCAGCAAGAAACAACACACTCAATTTTGTTTTTCATTAAATGACGTTAGACTGTGTGTGGCTGCAGTTAAATTGTTTTAACATGTTGGATCTTCCCCATACTTGCTTTTAATTGTTTTCAGTTAGGTTCAGAACAGCCCTTGCTAACCCCGCTACCAATGCAATCTCTTTCTTAGAATTCTGCCTGCTGCCCCGTGTATTCTGAAGGCTTTCTCCTCGGCTGTGTGAGTTCTAAGAGTCACTCAGTTAACCATTTCCAAGGTTTCCTCCCCGCCCCTCTGTGTGTCTCCTGAGTGCTCCGTGCAGCCTCTCCTCTCCGAAGCTTTGCCCGGCAAAGTTGAGTCCCTCCACCTCCCCGCACTCTAATACTCTTCTCCTCAGTGTGTGTGGGATGGGACCCTGGGATCTGTTTGGGTTCGTTTGCCCTGAGCCAGGCCTTGCTGGGGTCACAGAGCTCAGTGCTCATGTCCATCTCTCAGGGATCACAATCCTTCGCTGCCTGTTGTCAAATATCCAAAAAGCACTGCTTCTGAAATCTCCTGGGCTTCTAGTTGTTTAAGGTGGATAAATAAGACACCTGCTATTGTACCTTAGCCAGGAGGGGAAGTTTGTGTTGTGTTGTAGCTTTTGTTTTGAAATAACTATAGATTCATGGGAAGCTGCAAAAACAGTACAGAGGGGTCCTGTGTGCCCTTTGCATGCTGTGCATAGCTACAGTCAGACTTCACATAAGTAATGTGCGAAAATTCACATAACCATACGTCGTGCAGGACCAGGAAATTGATGTGGATGTGGTCTACAGGTCTTACTCATATTTCACCAGTTTTATATTTGCTTTTGTTTTTTTGTTTTTTTGTTTGTTTTTGTTTGTTTGTTTGTTTGTTTCTTGTGATGGAGTCTCACTCTGTCGCTCAGACTGGAGTGCAGTGGCCGGATCTCAGCTCACTGCAAGCTCCGCCTTCCAAGTTTACACCATTCTCCTGCCTCAGCCTCCAGAGTAGCTGGGACCACAGGCGCCTGCCACCTCGCCCGGCTAGTTTTTTTTCGTATTTTTTAGTAGAGACGGGGTTTCACCATGTTAGCCAGGATGGTCTCGATCTCCTGACCTCATGATCCGCCCGTCTAGTTTTACATTTGCTTGTGTGTGTGGTTCTATGCAAGTTTTTACCTGTGTAGATGTGTGTAACCACCACCACAATCAACATATAGAATGGTTCCATCCCCACAGAGGTCTCTTGTGCTACCCCTTTAGAGACACACCCACTCCCCAGGCCCAGCCCTTGGCAGCCACTAATCAGCTTTCAATTCCTATAATGTCATTTCGAGAATATTGTATAAACAGTCATAGAGTATGCGACCTTTTGGGATTGGCCTTTTTCACTCAGTGTAGTTCCCTTGAACGTCCTCCTGCTGCTGTGGGTATCATCAGTTCACCCCGTTTTATGGCTGAGTCTCCCATAAGGTGGATGTACTCGTCTGTCTAGCTGTTCATTCACGGATGGTGGTTTCCAGTTATTAGCTATTACAGGCAAAGCTGCTGTGGACAATTGTATGCAGGGTTTTCTGTGTCCATTTATCCCATTTGTCTGGGATAAATGCCCAGGAGTAAAACTGCCAGGCTGTATAGTAAGCATATGCTTAGTATTTTGTTGTCATCGTTGTTTGACACTGCCGAGGATGAGTCACAGGTTCGAGAAATCGCATGACAAGGCTGTGGGCAGGGCTTTTGTCTGCCCTCCTCCTACATAAGGCCCCCGGAGCCCACACTGCCTCAGCATCCCTCTTGCTCGAGAGCTCAGAGCCACCCAAAGCTGCAGCCATGCCATGCCTCCTGCTCACCCTGGGCGTGGCCCTGGTCTGTAGTGTCCAGGCCACGGACATGCCCCAGACCAAGCAGAACCTGGAGTTCCCGAAGGTTTGAGGCTGGGGGAGCGGGCGCTGTACCGTGGGAAGCCTGGGGTGGGTGGGAGCTGCGGGCAGGTGGGAAGCCCAGAGTCTCAGAAACCTACAGGAGGCTCAGAATGGATGCCCTGACATCAGGAACCCCTCAGCCCTGCTCTCCATCTTTAGGGTGGCCTCTCTGGTTTCCCAGCATCCTAGGTGACTCGTCATTTGGGCTTTGGAACACTCCTGAGTTAGCACACACTGGTGAATTTCCATAGCCCAGTGTCTGGTAGACAACAGGCCACCATCCAGTGCTCACTGTACCCATCCCAGTTAGACTCCACCCTGCCTGCACCAGTTGCCATGAGAGCCATGGTGGGGGGGAACCCCGTGTAGCCCAAGGCCCCCTCAGTTGGCAGGGACCTGGCACTCCATGGCCATGGCCACCAACAACATCTCCCTCATGGTGACGGTGAAGTCTGCTCTGAGGGTCCACGTCACCTCGCTGTGGCCCACCCCCGAGGACCACCTGGAGACCATTCTGCACAGATGGTGGGTTCCTAGTCATTGGGACTGGGGCTAGGTGGGGGCTCGGTCTCCCCCCGCAGGGGTCCAGGACTGGGTGGGGTGAGCGGAGCTGGACTCAGCCCCAGGCATTTTCTGATGCCAGGGGCTTCACTGTGGCCCCTGCATGAGGGTGGGGTGGAAAACTCAGGCTCCAGATGTTTCCTGTCCCCTTGGAGCCCCTGCCCCAGGCTCTGGGCCAACAGCTGACCACACGGTGCAGCCCCAGGTCAGACTGAGGAGAAGGTTGGGCGGCTGTGGGCTGCGGTGCTCCTGGGACCCAGGGAAGTTCTTGTGGTGACCTGATTTTAGGAGTGACAGTGAGGGCAACTCCAATTCAAGTGGCCACTCATTCTATTGTCACCACCTTCCAGGGAGAACAACAGCTGTGTTGAGAAGAAGGTCCTTGGAGAGAAGACTGAGAATCCGAAGAAGTTCAAGATCAACTGTGAGCATCCCCAGGCCCCAAGCGCTGGCTCAGTGCTGGCAGGCTGGCCACGCTGTCCCACAGCGGCTCTGCCAGGGGAGGAGGGAGTGGGGCCTGGCCTGTGCCAACTCTCTCTGCTTCAGGGAGTCAGAGTGTTTGCTCCAGTCAACCCGATACTGACCCTAAAGGCATATTTTACCTGGAGGGCAGGGGATGCACTAATTCTTGGCATGACAGTGACTGGATGTGGGTCTGCACTGTGCCCAGGCACGGGGGACAGGCGCTTTGTGTGCACTGTTCACTTTGGCCTCACAACAGGCCAGGGAGGCTGCAGGCAAGCAGATGGGCATGTGAGAAGGTGGGTAGGCGGGCAGGTGGACAGGTGAGAAGGTGGGCAGGTGGGCAGGTGAGAAGGTGGGCAGGTGGGTCCCAGAGTGTTGCTCCACCACAGTCAACCCGATACAGCCACAAGGGCATGTGTGGCGCACCTGGAGGGCAGGGGATGCACCCAGTGCTGGCATGACAGTGACTGGATGTGGGTCTGCACTGTGCCCCAGGCACAGGGGACAGGCGCGCTGTGTGCACTGTTCACTTTAATAGCCTCACAGCAGGCCCAGGAGGCTGCAGGCAAGCAGATGGGCATGTGAGGAAGGTGGGTAGGCGGGAGGCAGGTGGACAGGTGAGAAGGTGGGCAGGAGTGGCAAATGAGTGGGCCAGTGGAGTGGTGGATGTGAGAAGGTAGACAGGTGAAGGAGTGGGCAGGGTGAGCAGGTGGAAAGGTGGGCCTTGGGTTGAGAAAGGTGGAGCAGGTGAGAAAGGGTGGGGCAGGGTGGGCACGAGGGCAGGTGAGAGGGTGGCTGGGCGGAGGTGAGGGTGAGGCCGGGTGGGCGGTGGGCAGGTGAGATTTGGGAAGATGATCGAGAAGATGGCGGACGGGCAGTGAGGAAGGTGGTGAAGATAAGGCGGAGTGAGAAGGTGGGCAGGTGAAGGAAGGGTGGAGGCAGGTGGAGCAGGTGAGGAAGAAGGCAGTTGAGCGAGGTGAGGAAAGTGGGCAGGTGGGCAGGTGAGGAGAGAAGTTGGGCGAGTGAGGAAGGTGGGCGGGTGGGCAGGTGGCGAAGGGAAGGTGGGCAGGGTGGGCAGAGGTGAGAAGGTGGGCAGGTGGAGCACAGGTGGCAGGCAAGTGAGAAGGTGGGCAGGTGGGCAGGTGGAAGGTGGGCAGGTAGACAGGTGGTGGGTGAGAAAGGTGGAGGCAGGGTGGGCAGCAGGTGGGCGGGTGAGAGGTGGGCGGGTGGGCAGGTGGGCCAGGGTGGGCAGGTGAGAAGGTGGGCGAGGTGGCGAAAGGTGGCTTAGGTGAGCATAGTAGGTGGGTAAGTGAACAGGTGATTAGGTGAACAGGTGGGCAGGTGAGAAGGTGGGCAGGTGGGCAGGTAAGCAGGTGGGCATATGGGCAGGTGGGCAGGTGGGCAGGTGGGCAGGTGAGAAGGTGGGCAGGTGGGCAGGTAAGCAGGTGGGCATATGGGCAGGTGGGCAGGCAGGCAGGTGGGTAGGCGGGCAGGCAGGCAGGTGGGCAGGTGGGCAGGTGGGTAGGCGGGAAGGTAGGCAGGTGGGCAGGTGGATAGATGAACAGGTGATTAGATGAACAGGTGGGCAGGTGGGTAGGTGAACAGGTGGGTAGGTGGGCAGGTGGGTAGGTGGGAAGGTGGGCAGGTGGGAAGGTAAGCAACCCAGGTGAGCTAGGTGGGTAGGTGAACAGGGTGGGTAGGTGGGCATGTAGCTTGGGTGGTTGGAAGTGAACAAGTGGGGCAGGAAGGTGGGTAAACAGATTTGGTAGGTGGGCAAGTGGGTGTAGTAGATATGGTAGGCAGGTGGGTAGGTGAACAGGTGGGCAGGCGGGTGGGTGGAGTAGTATACAGGTGGGCAGGTGTGTGGGTGAGAGCAGGTGGGTAGGTAGCAGATGGTTAGCGAACAGGTGGGTAGGTAAACAGGTGGCCAGATGAACAGGTGGTAGGTGGGTAGAAGTGAACAGGTGATTAGGTGAACAGGTGGGCAGGTGGGTAGGTGTACAGGTGAGCAGGTGAGCAGGTAGGCAGGTGAACAGGTGGGTGGAGTGGGTAGGTATGGGTAGGCAGGTGGCTAGGTGAACAGGTGGGCAGGTGGGCAGGTGGGCAGGTGGGCAAGTGGGTAGGTGGGTAGGTGTACAGGTGGGCAAGTGGGTGGGTGGAGTAGGTGTACAGGCCAGACAGAGTTAGGTGGGTGGAGTACCCAGGTGGCCACAGGTGGGCAGGTGGGCAGGTGAACAGGTGGGCAGGTTGTGTTGTGGTTACGCTGGGCAGGTGGGCAGGTGAGAAGGTGGGTAGGTGAACAGGTGGGCAGGCGGGTAGGTGGGTAAGTATACAGGTGGGCAGGTGTGTAGGTGAGCAGGTGGGTAGGTAAGCAGATGGTTAGGCGAACAGGTGGGTAGGTAAACAGGTGGCCAGATGAACAGGTGGGTAGGTGGGTAAGTGAACAGGTGATTAGGTGAACAGGTGGGCAGGTGGGTAGGTGTACAGGTGAGCAGGTGAACAGGTAGGCAGGTGAACAGGTGGGTAGGTGGGTAGGTATATGGGTAGGCAGGTGGCTAGGTGAACAGGTGGGCAGGTGGGCAGGTGGGCAGGTGGGCAAGTGGGTAGGTGGGTAGGTGTACAGGTGGGCAAGTGGGTAGGTGGGTAGGTGTACAGGTGGGCAGGTGGGCAGGTGAACAGGTGGGCAGGTGGCCAGGTGGGCAGGTGGGCAAGTGAACAGGTGAACAAGTGAACAGGTGGGCAGGTGAGCATGTGGCCAGGTGGGCTGCTGTTCCCGCGGGCCTGGCTGCCTTCTGCTGACGGTGGGGCTGCAGATCTGGCCTGGGCCGCACTCCCAGCCTCGTTGCGGGAAGAGGGGCTACAGCACGTCCTGGCTCCACTGAATTCTCCCTAACAATTTGCGACATTTTGTTCTATTTTGTTAATTATTATTTTTTTTAAAAGACAGAGGTGGTCAGGGTCTGGGCTCTCGTATCCCCTCGTGGGCACATTTTCCCAGCACACACAGTTTGCTGCTTATGCTTGGGACTTGCCTCAGGCCCTTCTGACCCTGCTTGCCCTCCCCAGAATCGAGCCACTCTCCAAGGTCCATTTCTTCTCCCTCTTCCCACCCCTCTGCGCTGTTCCCGTGCCGTCTCCCGCTGTCCTCACCTGTACGTGACTTCTTAGCTGGAATCTCTCCAGGTCAGAGCCTGCTTGCCTCTGGTGTCTGGCTCTCCCCTGCACACCTGGCCTCTCCCCTTCAGCCAGGGCTCCATGGTCCTCCATGTTGCCTCTTCTCTCCTTTTCTCCCTGGATTCCCTAGCCATGGCCCACCCCAGGAGCCACGTCCCCTGGTGTCAGTGGACGAGGAAGCCACTTAGTGTGGTGGGACGTCCACACATCTGCCCAAGACTCTGCTGAGATGGAGGCTTCATTTTCCTTTTGGTTCTTCTCTTCTTTCCCCAGATATGGGAGCGAATGAGGCTATGCTGCTTGATACTGACTACGACAATTTCCTGTTTCTCTGCCTAAAGGATACCACCACCCGCATCCAGAGCTTGATATGCCAGTACCTGGGTGGGTCTCACAGCATGGGAGCTCAATGTGGGTGAGAGGTAGCAGCTACGTCCATGCCTGGGAACCCTGGGGAGCTGACAACTGGCTTCCTGTCCACCTCGGTGCCTGTGGGCTGATTTTTTCTTTCTTCTTTTTTTATTTGTTTGTTTGTTCATTTTGTTTTTTTGAGACAGGGTCTCATTCTGTCACTCAGGCTGGAGTGCAGTGGCGTGATCTCGGGTCACTGCAACCTTTGCTTCCCAGATTCAAGCGATTCTCCTGCCTCAGCCTCCCGAGTAGCTGGGATTACAGGCGCGTGCCACCATACCTGGCTAATTTTTGTATTTTTAGTAGAGATGAGGTTTCACCACGTTGGCCAGGCTAGTCTCCAACTCCTGACCTCAAGTGATCCACTCGCCTCAGCCTCCGAAAGTGCTGGGATTGGATTACAGGCATGAGCCAGCACGCCCGGTCAGGCTGTTTTTCTCCAGTGCTTTATCGAGTCCTCTGACAAAGCAAGGAGCTGATATGGGGCCAGTGGGACAGTCGCCAGTCAAGGGGCTGGGCTTGGTGGAAAGATTAATACTCACTGGACATCCAGTCAAAACACCCTGAAACCTATGATGCTCTCGACCAAACGAAGGCCAGGAATACTAAAATAGCCACATAGGCACAGCCCTCCCCTGTGTTTCCCAGCACACCGTTTCCTCTGAGGTCACACAGGTGTCTTCTTGATTGGCCTCAGCCGTGCTTGGTGAGAGCCGGGCACTGGGGGAAGCAGGCACTGTGGTCTCCTCCCGTGACACTGTAGACACCATCCTGAGCTGTGCGGGCCCCAGCGCTGCCCAGAGCGGAGCAGAAGGGGCTGGGCTGAGGAGTGGGAGCTGGGGACAGGGAACCTGGAGGCCAGGTGGACAGAGCCCCGGAGACCGCCCTAGGGACCTACTCCAGACTAAACTCTGCCTGACCTGGGAGCACTGGGGCCTCCTTCTCTGCCCTCCCTCCTCAAGCAGGGCCCCTGGAGCTCCCCAGCTCTCATGGAAGCCCCAGGGACCCAGGACTGACCCAGCCTCCTCCACAGCCAGAGTCCTGGTGGAGGACGACGAGATCATGCAAGGATTCATCAGAGCTTTCAGGCCCCTGCACAAGCGTCTGTGGTACTTGCTGGACTTGAGAAAGACGGAAGGTGAGCTCCGCCCAGGACACGCCCAGCCTCGGCTGGAGAAGAAGCTGCCTCTTTCTCAGCCCGAGCCCTCTGCTGGCTCTGTAGTACTCAGGTCACTCCTTGCTGGCCCTTCCCTAGTTCTCCCCCAGCCTCCTGGGGTGCAGAGCCACTCTGAGGTGGGGTCCCACCCCCTCCCACCATCTTTTCACTCCCCTCTCTAACCCTGGGACTGCTGTGTCCCCAGCTGTCTCTTCTCTCGCTGACGCCTCCACTCTCCGCTCTCCTCCCACAGAGCCGTGCCATTTCTAGGTGAGCTCCTGCCTGGTCCTGCCTCCTGGGTAATGTATCAACCTCGCCCACTATCTGCAGCTGCCTCTCTGGGCTGCTGGGACAGACCCCACTGTGTCCAGTTCAGGGCTGACCTTGAAGGAATGAGCTTTGGTCTGGTCTTATGATTCCAGAAAGCCAGGCTGCTGACTTCCCCGTCCACCAGCCCAGCGTGTGTCTTGTAGCCATTGTATAAGTCACGGGCTCGTGCCCTACAGTTGGACCTCATGCTTTCTTTTGGGGTTGGTTGGAAATGATGGGGGCTGAAGGAGGAGGAGGGAGAATGGTTACATGGAAGGCATGAGAAGCTGGGGACCTGTATATCTCAGTCCCACATTCTTTTTTTTTTTAGATGGAGTCTCGCTCTGTCACCAGGCTGGAGCGCAGTGGCACAATCTCAGCTCACTGCAACCTCTACCTCCTGGGTTCAAGCGATTCTCCTGCCTCAACCCCCAGGTTGCTGGGACCACAGGCGTGTACCACCATGCCCAGCTAATTTTTGTATTTTTAATAGAGAAAGAGTTTCACCATGTTGGCCAGGATGATCTCAATCTCTTGACCTCGTGATCCACCCCTCTCAGCCTCCCAAAGTGCTGGGATTTCAGTGCAGCATTCTTAAGGGGGTGTCCTCAAGCCCACCCACGTCCTTCCAGGGCTCCCCCACAGTACCCTGCTCTTCCTCCCTCTACTTAAGTAACCCAACAGCTCGTCTCCGCCTCCAGGAAGACCAGACCCCCACCCTTCCACACCTCCAGAGCAGTGGGAATTCCTCCTGCCCTTTCAAAGAATGTCCACACCTCAGAAGACAATGGCGTGGTCATCCGTGTCCCCATCCCCTTCCTGCTGCACACCTGCACCGCGGGCGTGGGGGGGCTGCTCCCTGGGGGCAGTCTCTGGCAGAGATTATTAATAAATCCATGCCGCATGTTCTGTCTGGACGCGCAGTCACCGCTGGGTGTGGGATTCAGGGACGAGGGTCCAGGGTGGGGGGTGGGCCCAGGAGCCAGACCTGCTACAAACCCGGGGGCAGCTTCTGGTGGAGAAAAGACCTCAACTTTCTTATCTACAAAATAAAAGGGTCCACTTTCACAAAATTTATGAAATGTCTAGAAAAATAAAACCAGGACACTTCTATCAGAATCGATGAGCCCAGAGGAAAACTCATAGTCTTTAATAGTGAAATGGGTTAGCAAGACAAAATTAAAATCAATAAATCTGTAATGAGCTCTTGTTAGAAAAAAAAAAAAGCGTTAGAATCAGGAAAATAAGAAAATAGAATTAAGGAAGATACAAGCAAAAATGACAAAATCAGAGAAACTTGTCAAATTCATGCACCTGTGCCCCAAAGTAGGGAAGGGGTGGGCGTGGTGGGATTTAGCTCACCTGTCAGAAACACCTGGGAAAAAAAATTCTAGCAACTATCAATGACCACAGATTAAGAGAAAATTGATTACAAGAATCATAAGGGATTATGCTATTTGACTCTAGAATATATTTTTTACAATGCAAAAGAGATGCTTTCAGGCAAATATAAGCATCCAAAACAGATCAGAGAAAACTAGAGACAGAGTAGGTAAGGACCCTTCTCAAGGCAGACAGACATACGCGGTCAAGGGTCTGTGTCCCAGCCCGGCCCCCGGCATTGACAGCAGCCAGGCAAGGGCCGGAGATCTCCTGCTCCTTTTGGGAACAGATGAAACCAGGCAAAGTGAACAGTCCCAGGCGTGAGGAACGTGCAAATATTCCACACTTGTTTCTAATGCTAGGAAAATATCTCCATCAAAACTCCACAAAACCAGGCCCTACTAGGAGTAACTAGCGCTTGTGTGGCAGCAAGGAACTTCTGAACTGTCTGTATAACAAACAGGCCGTTTTAACCCAGGCATGGGGGCTCACACCTGTAAACCCAGCCCTTTGGGAGGCCGAGGCAGGCGGATCACCTGAGGTCAAGGGTTCGGGACCAGGCTGGCCAACATAGCGAAATGCTGTCTGTACTGAAAATAAAATAAAATAAAATAAATAGCTGAGCGTGGTGGCAGATGACCCGTATGTAATCCCAGCTACTCTGGAGGCTGAGGCAGGAGAATTATTTGAGCCTGGGAGGCAGAGGTTGCAATGAGCTGAGATCGCGCCATTGCACTCCAGCCTGGGTGACAGAGCAAGACTCTGTCACAAAAAAAAAAAAAAAAAAAAAAAAAAAAAACCAACAAAACAAAACAAAACAAAACACTCAAAAAACAACAACAAAAAACCCAAATAAGCCATTTCATCCTCATGACTGCCCACAGGGCAGAAGCCCTTAACTGTCTCATTGCCCAGCTGGTGGGTGGGACATGGAATGGCAGGGGATCTAATACCCACACACACAACCATTGCACCTGCTGGCTCCATCACCACACCACCCTGTGTGTCGATGCAAACACCCTGAACAGTATCGGTGCCCCTGGAACCCAGTCACACAGTGAGAGAATCACAGAGGCGTCTACATGAACTTCACCCCCAGAAGACATCTCTGGACATAATTGTGTAATTAAAGGATCAAGAATACTATGATTTCTCCGCAGATGCTGGAGTCTGTTAAAAACATTAAAACCCCTTCCCTTTAAGTTGTCTACAAATGGACACAGAGTAAATTTCCAGCACATGCCATTAAGTGAGAAAAATGAGGCGAAGAGGCAGGTACACGGACTGTGCTGACTTTCATGTAAGAAAGAATGGAATTAAGACTGTCCACACCTATTTAGAAAAAAACAAGAGGAATGAACGGAAATTAATGAGTATGGTCATCTCTGGGGAAAAAAATGCATGGAGAGGGTAGGAATCAAAGTCAACCTTTTGTAAGTGTAACCTTTATGCAGTTTTAACTTTTGAACCAGTTAGCATTTTATATATTTAAAATATAAAATTAAAAAGTAAAAGGTGGCAAGCCATAAAATGAAAAACAAACCAACACATGAAAGTAAACTCTAAAATCGACAATTTCAGAGGAAAGCAACTGCTACAGGTAGTTTTTTCTACTGATGTGTTTTTCTCGGCTGGCTGCGAAGCAATCCTATGTGAGGTTTGATCACTTCCGGTGTTAGTGCCTGTAAACAGGGATGGAACACACATCCGCATTACAAAATCTTTGGTCGGACCTCACACACACTGTGTTGTTCAGAAGATGTTAATTGTGCTACATGACAACTACCTAGCTGCCTGCTGCCAGGGCCTGCAGAGAGACCCCGGCATCTCATTCACTCTGATGGTACCCCAGTTTATTCACACTTTGATCTCTTTTGGAGTATATTCTAGAACAAAAGGCATTGCCAAGAAATCCTTACTTCAACCCAGTAGTCACATCCATGTTAGTGATGATATTAGTGTTCTATCAGTCAGAGCTCAGTATGAAACAGAGAGCACATAGGAAGTAGATAGTTGAGGGAGGACTCACATACGGAGGTGTGTCCTTAGGGAGACAGGAAAGGATAATGCCGTAACTTGGGGCTTAGGAGTAGCCAAGCCCTTGCCATTTATAGTCACTAGAGGATAAGGGGGATACAGAGTTTTCATTGTGATTGGAATAAACAAAACAAAAAGACAGGAGGAACAAAATAGTATCTAGAAGACATCACAGTCATTGTAGAAATGTAATAGTGGATAAGGGAATTATTTCAATTCAGTAGCAAAGCAGGTCTTATGTAGGAAATAGTATGTAACTCGTTGGTATCAGTGTAACACTTGCCTCATAAGATGAGTTAGGGAATGTCCCTCTGTTTGCAATTTAGGGAAGAATTTTTGAAAGGTATTGTTGCTTTCTCAAATGGTAGGATTTACCAGTGAAGCCAACTGGGGTTTGAGATCTTGTTGTGGGGAGGGTGGTGTGGGGGGAGGGTGGTTAGGAAAATTTGTATCTACAAATTCCATTTCTGTAAGGTCAATTCTGGTGATCCATTGCTTCTTTAATAAACTTGGCCCTTTGCATATTTCCAGGAATTTATCCATGTTGTTCAAGTTTTCAAAATTATTTTCATCAAGTTATTCAAAGTATTTTCTTTTTATCCTTATAATGTCCATAGGGTCTGTAGTGGTGTCCCCTTTCCTTATTCCTGAGAGTAATCATTGGTGTCAGCTGTCTGCTTTTGCCTGATTAGTCTGGCTTGAGATTTATCCACTTCGTTAATCTTTTTGAAGATCAAACTAACTTTCAGTTCCATTGATTTCTCTATTGTTTTTCTATTTTCTATTTCACTGATTTCAGCTATTACATTGAGTGTTTATTTCCTCCTGCCTGCTTTGTTTTAGACCATTCTTTTTCTAGTTACTCAGATGCTGGCTCAGATTGCTGAGTGGAGGATGTTCATGTTGCTGAATACAAATATTTAATGCTATAAATTTTCTCCAAAGTACTGGTTTAGTTCATCCCACATATTTTAATATATTTTCTTTTATAACATTTAAAAAAATTTATTTATTTTCTTAGAGATGGGGTCTTGCTATGTTGCCCAGTTAGAGAAAACCCCTGGGCTCAGGTGATCCTCCTACTTCAGCCTCCCAAAGTGCTGGGATTCCAGGCAGAGGCCACCATACCTGGTCATATTTTGTTTTCATTTTTTCTCAACTCAAAATATTTTCCAATTTACCTTGTGAAATTCATCCATTGGCTACTTAAATATAGTTTGTTTTGTGAAAGGAAATTAGATCTGGGGACCCAAACTCATTTAGCCAAAGGGAAATGTCAAGGTGAGAACTGGGTCACACAAAGCTGCCTCCCCACTTTGGTTGCTAAAGAAGATGGCTACAAGATGAAAGGCTACCCACCTCCCCCTATTTTGCCCACAAGGAAATTCCTGGTGAGCTGTCAGAACTTCATCATAGTGATGCAAGTTGTTAGCTTATCTTTGCAGGTGCAGTCACCCCAGCCAGCCAGACACAAATGCATATCTGATTGTTCCACTGCCCCACTGTGTCTGTGTTATCTTATGTAAAATGCAGATTCCCCACATTTTCCCTCTGCCCCTCCCCTTCCGTTTATATGAAAACTGTGTGCTTCTCAATATCCCACCCTTTCTCCTTTACATTTGGAGCCCTCAAAATCATCTTCAGAAAAAGGCATAGATCTGTTTCTTGGGTGCATCCTTAATTTTGGCAAATAAATTTCCTAAAATGATTGAGACTTGTCAATCATTTTCTTCAATTGACATCTTCATCACCAAATATTTGCAGATTTTTCCTGTATATTTTGCTATGGATTTCTATTTGACAAAAATACAATTCATATGATTTCAATTTTCTTAAATTTGGGGGAACTTGTTTTATGGTCCAAGATACAACCTCCCTTGCCGCATGTCCTGTGTGTTCTTAGAAAGAATGTGCAACCCAAGTTAGGTGGTTGATAGTTAATTGGTTGAGACAATGACCAAGCCTTCTATATCTTTATATTCTGTCAGCTTTTTCTTTGTTACTGAATGAGGAGAGTTGCAGTCTCTAGCTACAAGTGTGGAGTTATGCGATTCTCCTTTCAGTTATATCAGCATCTGCTCCACGCATTATAAAACTGTGATTCATTGCATTCACGGATTCTCTTGATAAATGTATCCTTTTAAAAGAATGTGTATTTTGCTGTTACTGCATGGAATATTCTCTTATTTTTACATGTTTGAGAGGCATTTGCATTTTTTCTGTGAAGAATTAAATCATATCCTTTGTTGAGTTCTTGGAGTTTTTCTATTGACGTGTGGGAGCTCTTTATATATTAAGGAAATTAGATATTGTTTGTGCTATTCAATTGTTAAAATACAGTTTCGGTGTCGCAAAAGAAATAGCCCTTGAATATAAACTTTCTTTTTAATTCTCAGCAAGGCAATTTACTTCTATAGAAGGGTGTGCCCTTACAGATGGAGCAATGGTGAGCACACACCTGGACAAGGGAGGGGAAGGGGTGCTTATCCATGATGCATGTGGCCCCTGCTGCTGTGTTGTTCTCTTATTGGCTAGGGTTAGGTTGCGCAGGCTAAACTAATTCTGATTGGCTAATTTAAAGAGAGTGACAGGGTGAGTGGTTTGGTGGGAAAAATGGTTATGACAGAGCAGGCAATCAGAATGTAGTCAGGGTGGAGCGAGTAATCGGAATGAGTCAGGGTGAAGCAGAGAATCGGAATGAGTCAGGGTGGAGTGGGTAATCAGAAAAGGTTGCCTTACGAGGAAGTTAAGTTTAAAAGTAGAAGGCAAAGAATTGAACATACTGACCTATTGATTCTTTGAAAAGAAATTTAGAACTCATATC